CACACACACACACACACACACACACATCAAGATTGCGCAAATGCACATGCTCATACACACGCAAAGCAACAGTGTGAAGCTAACAGTGCTGTGTGGTGGCACTCTATTCTTGCCCTTTCATTGGAGGAAATACAAATGTTGTTGACATTTACTTTAAAAAAAAACAAAAACAAACAAACAAAAAAAGGGGGTAAGCTATGGTGTAGTGGGGTAGGGAAGCCGATTAGGGATCAGAAAGTCACAGGTTTGACTCCCCGCCATGCCCACATGTCGTGGTGTCCTTGAGCAGGACACCTAAACCCCAACTGCTCCCAGGGATCGCTGCCCCACTTGGGTGTTTCTCACRTGTGACAGATCAAATACAGAGCACAAATTACATCATTGTATGGGAACAGGCATTGATGACAAATAAAGTCCATTTACATTTTACATTTGACATGCAAATCACATGGCAAATGCAGGGCTTTCTTCCTCTTCCAGTCTGCATCTCTCTTGCTTTCTCTCCCTCTCTCTCTCCCCCTCTCTCTCTCTCTCTGTCTCGCCCTCCCTCTCCCAATCCCTATAACTCCTGTTGATGTAACCGGCCACACAGAGTACAGGAGTAAAGCAGCTCGAGCAGCAGCGACGGGGAGAAATGCAAGGAGCCCAGAGGAGCTCTAATGATGCCTCAGTCTCACCTCCTGTCTCCTTCTCCTTCTATCATCTCCCACACTCTTACTCTCAACCCTTTCCTATCCCGCGCTCTGTGCCGCCATCCCTGTCTTCGTGCCGGGCCACAGAGCACAAGGACAAGCTGGAGTGGAGGAGGWTGGTGCCCAGCTACAGCCATTCGCCGGGGCCCGTGGATCTCCGTGTCTGGAATACACTGGATGAAAGTCAGGAGCCTTTACCTAAAAACTGGGAGATGGCCTACACAGAAACTGGAATGGTTTACTTTATAGAGTAAGTCGTCTTTCTACTACTGCTGCTTTGTTTTGGTTTCATTCTACTCGTATAACACCTCCCTAACTCTGCTCCCTGTTCTACCGGTTCCACAGCCATGTTTGTTTTTCTACCCTTGTTAAAAGTTCTGGCAGCTTTTTGTTCTCTATACAGAACTTTCCTTTGCTCCGAACGAAGTGCTAAACAAGAAGGTTTCCTGTGTCCGTTGCAGTGGTAGCTACATTTTTCTCAATTAAATTTCCTATCCAATTTTTTCCCCCTGTGTTTGATGTGGGGTTTGTTGGCTGGCACTAAAAGCAGCAGGCCATCACTGTTTACCAGTAGTGTGTCAAGCAGCCAGTGCCGAGCCGCTGAGAGAGCCAGGTGTTCCTGTTTGCTACTAAATCAATAGCTCATTCTGCCAGGCAGAGAAACTGCCGGCCAAATGGAGCGCACCACCCTTGACCTGCTCTCTCAAGCTCTGCTCTTTATGATCTGTGTAACTGCCCAGTTTCTCCTTTCCGGGCTGCTCATATTTATCTCTTCTTCTCCTTCTTTCTCTTCCTTTTTCCAAACATTGTTTCAGTAACGATATATCTGTTTGCAAAAGATGAAATGCTTGCCACATTTTTTTTGCTGTTAGCTTGAGCGACCTGACCGCGCAGTTGTCAATCCTAAATTTTTGTTTCTTCTGCACGAAAATACCCGTCTCTGTTTTGTATTTATAGTCACAACGCCAAGACCACCACCTGGCTAGACCCTCGCCTCGCCAAGAAAGCCAAGCCACCTGAGAAATGCGTTGAAGGAGGTGAGGCGATATCTGCACACGCAGACTCTTTCTCCTCTCCGCTCACACTTTCCTAAACTTTCTGCCACATGAAAACAATTGGTGTGTGACTCGGGTTTCTCTGACGGCACCTGCTGACAGACGGAGACTGAACAGCCTAGTCTTGGCCGGTGGCATAGAACAAGCCTTCAGTCTCCACCCCCCACCCCACTGACAACTTCACGAATACACACAGGTAGCTCAGTACTGCTGCACCTCTCAAAAGGCAATTTTCTTTGACCCTCTCTTGCGTAAAGATTCTCCTCAGCACTGCATGTGCTGTCACACAGTGAAAAAACGCAGAAAAAAGTCAAGATGTAACAGACATACAGAACACACTACTGGAGTCACACATAAAAGACAGTGTTTTTCCCTCGGATACCTGTTTACAGCAACACTTTTTCACTTTCATTACCTTAAAACTTTGAGTTTATTCTATTCTGATGGCATTTTAATTTTTACTGTGCAATATTATACTTTCCACTGTGTGTGTGTCTGTGTGTGTGTGTGTGTGTGTGTGTGTGTGTGTG